GTATTGTCTGCAGTTGGTGACAGTTTAACAGGGACTGAATCTTCACATGGCGCAAGAGTTTTCACCAAGAAAAACGAAAATAAAATAATTCCATAGTTCTGACGTAGCGTACTTAAGAATGCCACCACCTATACTTTCAAGGCGACTTATTTACTCAGCGTTGGTATAGGCAGACATCGTAGACATACTTGGCTACTTTAAAGCCGAGTCCTACTTCACGGATGATGCATACCGGGAGGACGATTGGAGAGACTGTGCTGCACTTCTGGTAGACGACGTCTAGCACTGAATCCTTGAAGTAGGTCACGGCCACGTCGAAGCACCGCTCTTTGTTTCCCGTCAGTTCTAAAGAGTAATAAGTGGAAATGCAGCTATTTAGAAACAATATTATATATTCAAAAGTTATGCGAGGCGAGGGAGGCGAAATCCCCGTCTAATCACTGTCAAAAATAGTAGGAATAAGGGTTACTGGAAAATTTTCGCTGGCGCAAGTTGTAAAATTACAATATGTAATCGTAAAAATTCAGTATGGACTTGAAATCCAATGGCGATGTGTTCTCGTAAATTTACAACTTAAGTTATAATTCGAGTTTACAGAAAGTTTGTACATTTACGACGATATTTTTCACAGTGAATAAAACTCACAAATCAACACGAAACACTTACTTGTAATAAGCATGTTTCTGATCGTCAAAGTGCGTGCCTTTATGCCTTCGTTTGACTAGCCAGTCATTGGCAGTCAAAAACAGCCCTATGACTGAGAGTGTGTTTCGTCTATATTGTGTATCGTAACATGAAAAGGTTGGGCGCATTGGGTTCTTTCTCAAATCCCGTCTAATTGCGCCTAGTTCATAGACAGTTCTCTATAATCTCAGATTTGAAGATCTTTTATCCAATGAGATGGAAACGAAACATTAAAACAGTGCGCGCAGAACTCTCGGAGCCGTCGGTCAGAGACGATAGGCAGGCAAACCCTGCTGCCAGCACTCGTACTTGAGGCACGGCGCAATAAAGTCGATGTTAGAGCAAAACTCACCGTTGGCGAGCAGAGTCGGCGCATCGTTTGCTGCGCCTTTGTCCTGAACAGGTCCAGCCTGAAAGCAAACGGAAGACGTGTGAATTATAGGAATTCGGGCACGGTATTGAATTTATTTCCATAGCTCTCTCTTGACCGCTTTGCTTTACCGTGGGAAAAATTCAAGTGCAACTTTACATCCGTTTATCTCGGAAAATTTCGTTCTAGCTTTTGTCAGGTTCCTTGCGTGACAATTTAATTATAGCTTCTCTTGTATGCTAGTTAAAACGCTGAATATTGCGATTTTAAGCCTTTACAACTATTTACTGAGATTTTTTTCAAACTCCAAAACTGCCTCAACCTAGAGGTTACGAAGTGATATCTCAATTATACGAGGTTTTGATAGGACCAAAAAGGTAATATTTCTTTCCAAAAATGTACATGCTAGAAAACTGGCCAGGTGGGCCAATATTTTGTAGGAACCACTTGACCTGGCTTGACAAATTTCACGCAGAGTGGAAGAAAACGTGCTTTTAAATGAGATCTCCAGTTTGGTTCTTCCACACTACTATTATTCTAGAATTTGCCCATAACTATATACCTTCAGCAAAGTGTCTGGTTCAACTCTAAATAAATTTCTCACCTGAGCGAGAGCAGCCACCGCTACAACAAGAACAGAAAGAACAATAGTCTTCATGATGAGAGCTACTACTTACTTGTCACCACAAGTGATGGAGAGAGTGCTCAGTACAGCAAATTTATAGGTGATTCAGTAAAGGGAACGGACCCTTCGTCTCGCAGTTTTCTTAAGAAACTTGCGATAAGCTCCAGTGTTCTTCGAAATTGATAAAGCGTGGGCACCGGCACTTGATTCATGCTCCCTGTAGTGCATTCACGTGGCATGTACGTTATCCTTTGGCCAAAACAAATAACAACCAACACTAAATCTTGATTTTCGATTTTCTTGATTCTTTCATCATAGAAGTGATACCTCAATTTTGTGATTCCTCCGATTCATCGATTTTCTAGACATAACTTGTTATCGAAAAAGGACATGAAATAAAAGGTAGAAGAGAAAGTTCGCAAAAACAGAATGCGATAACTTTTTATCGCAACGTTTCCTCAACTATGTTCAATTTTTTAGTCGAACCCTTGAGAGTGAAAGTACTCAAGTTGGGGCTAATCTTCCGCAGCTCTTTGACACTGTCTCAAGTGCTTGCTAGTTGGACACTTCTGATATTTGCGAATCATGAGCTTATAAGTACGCCCTACACTGTTGGGTGTTGCTACTCCCTCCGGCTGTAAGGCACTATTCCACTACGGCCTGGTCGAGCATACACTTCAATTAATTAAAAGTGGTGGTACTAGATGCCAAAAGATGCTTCCTGAGGAATACTGGTACGACACTACACTATAAATTTAAGAGAACAACAATTTTGTTCCTGAAAAGGCAACGTTTTCGTGCGCATCCAGATCAGAAGCAATTTTGTTTCTCAAATTCGACAAAGTGTGTAAAGCTCGGTAAAGCTTTACATAATTGTATCCGGTCTGGATGCGTTCCCCTTTTGGAAACAAAACTATCCCTTTAGATTTAGAGTGTATAATTGTGTATGCAGAAATAAAATGATGGCCAATCGGGAATTGCACAGAAAGTACCTCCGCAACTGCCTGGCTCAGCCCATGGAAGCTTTCATAGCGCCTTTTAGGTAGGCAACACTTTGCCCGCGGTGCTCGCAAGTACTGCGGGGTGGCCTACCCTACGTTTCGCAGGCGCTGGCCAGGCTCCCGCAATGTGACAAAGAAGCGAATTTCTCGACAGGTCGATGAGAAATGCGAAATATCTCATGTAAATTTTACGCAGATATATTTTCCACTGTGCCAGTTGCTTGTCTGCTATCCTCTCTGCCCCCTTTTTCTACCGGGGCACCCCTCCACTGGTGTAAATTCCATCAGGATTTCCTGATCGTAGTGCCCTGATTCCTTATCGTATCCAAGGTTTCTGATGGGTTTCTCGGTTTCTGATGGTTAGTTTCTGATCGTTCCTTCAAAACCTAATGGTATTATCTCAATTTTCTGATGGTATTTTCCCCCTGATCGTAAAATTTCTGAGGGTCTGTAAACCATCAGGATAATTTCTGTATTCTGATGGTATTTTTCTGATCGTACAAACATCTTTGATGGTTATTTGACATTTTCTGATAGTTCCTTTTAGTATTATCAGAAAATGATGTTTTCCTGATCGCCTCGATCAAGCAAATAATTGGCCTGACGAAACTATGTGTCACACGGTAAAACGGCTTTGTGTGGTGTAAGAGGATCACATACTTTATCGTTTGCTTACATAAAAACAAAATCACCTTTATCAAACTGTGATTTCTAGGAGAACGGCTAAAGATAGGTCAATTTTGACACCACCATTGTGCTCAGCGCTGAAAGTTTACACGGGTGATGTAGAATCTTGGCCCTTGGGCGGCCCGCTGCTGACTTCCCCTTTAAAGATGCTACCATCAAGGGCATTTACTAGTAGTATACTTACCATCAGAACGCAATTACCATCAGAATTTTACCATCAGAGCCCAACCTTACTATCGTAACAATACCATCAGGCCAAAAACTATCAGGAACGTCCCATTTTCTATCAGGAATTAGGCAAAGTACTGATCGTACCTTTTTT